CTTGTTCTTGCACTCATGCTCTTTATGACTAACTTGCTTGCAACTAGTGTAAAATCGACCATTGTTCTTCACAAAACTAGTCTTGTGAGGAGCAAAGGCCGCCTTGCCTTTCTTGGGGCTATAGCCCAATCTCTCTTTGTAGAGAGAAGCTCTTTAACTACCCAAGCACATAAGCAAGCGGTCATCCCCACCATAGGCCTTAGCCAAGGTGTGAGTGAGCTCATTGACCTTCTTCTTGAGGGTCTCATTCTCAACCATTAGTGAGGCATTACATGTGAAACCATCACTATTAGATGAGGTGGAAGTGAAAGTGCTACAAGAAGGGTTAGTGGGAGCAATAATGATAGGCTTATATAATGATTCATCAATTAGGTCACAAGTTAACGCTACATTACATGTCTCAACATGCTTCTTCTCATTTTGCTCATCAAGCAAAGTGGAATGGGCTTTTTCAAGCTTCTTGTGAGCCTTGCCAAGTTTCTCATGGGCTTCCTCTAGCCTCTCATCCCTTCACTTAATGTCAAAGTGTTCTTTAGCATCATCTAGCATGTCAAGTAGTTTATCCTTAATTGGTTCATTATCATCTTCCTCATCGCTTCCATCATCACAAGTTTATACCTTAGTGGCCTTAGCCATAAAGCATGATGGAGTGTCGAAGAGAGAAGGCTTCTCATTGATAGCAATGCTTGTAAGTGTCTTCTTCTTGGTGGTCTTGTCATCATCACTTGAGGAAGCATCACTATCTCAAGTGACCACATATGAACCACCCTTTCTCTTCTTCTTGAAGATCATCTTATCCTTCTTCTCTTTCTTTTCCTTCTTGTCCTTCTTCTTGTTCTTCTTGTTGTCATCATTGTCACTATTATATGGGCATTGAGCAACAAGATGATCTTTGCTTCCATAATTGAAGTACCTTCTTGATTCTTCCTTGTTCTTGGATGAAGACTTCTTTCTTCTAGCACGGTAGCCCTTCTTTATTATGAACTTGCCAAATCTCTTGACAAAGAGAGTCATCTTCTCATCATCCATCTCATCAAAGCTCAAGTCTTCATCTTCACTTAATGATTCTTGCTTTGTCTTGCCCTTGGATGATGTGGCCTTGAATGTCATACTCTTCTTCTTCTCATCTTTCTTCTCCTTCTTTTCTTTCTTCTCATCATCATCTCTATATGTATCATCGGTCATTATATCTCCCAACACTTGGTTTGGTGTCATGGTGTCCAAACCACTCCTCACTAGAATAGTGACTAATGTGCTAAATCTTGAGGGTAAGCATCTCAAGAACTTATAGAAGAAGTCCTTGTCCTCCATCTTCTCACCAAGTACTTTAAGATCATTGACAAGCACTTATAACCTATGGAACATCTCCGGCACACTCTCATCCTCCTTCATTTTGAAACTAGCAAACTTCTCTTTAGGATATATGCCTTGGCACCCTTCACGGATTGAGTGCCCTCAAATGATTCTTCAACTTCTTCCATGCTTCATGAGCCATCTTAATGTTCTTGATTTGCTCAAATGTTCTCTCATCAATAGCATCATGAATGGTACTAAGAGCAATGCCATTGTTTTGGAGAAGCACTTCTTCGGCAGCGGTGGGGTTCTCTGGATCCTTTATCTCAATCTTGGTCTCCACCACCTTCCAAACTTTCCTATTGATTGACTTGATATATGTTGTCATCTTAGCCTTCCAATAGGGATAGTTTGAGCCATTAAATTGGGGTGGCTTCTTGGTGTTGTTGATTTGAGTCATTTTTACATCGAAGGTTGTTAAGCCTCAAATCATGGTGACCACAGCTCCGATACCACTTGAAAGGTCCTAATGGCTAGAGAGGGGTGAATAGTCTATTAAAAATTTCTATAACAACACTAAGACAAATGATTAGTCAATAAGATGGCGAAGCAAATTTTGTGCTAGCACTATACTTGGGGTTACAAGCCACCTACCCAATTCTATTTTCTATGATCTCTAATATATCACATCAAAGCTATGTCACTAATATACTAGTGAGAGTAATACAATTAAATGATACACTATCTAGTCTTAACTACTACTAGCTTTATCCATGTGAATGTATAATGAAATACAAGAGAGTGGTAGAGAGATATACTGCCATGGCAAGTGACCAATGAGTGAATACCAAAGAGACAATCAAGACACAGTGATTTTTCCTTCAAGGTTCACTTGCTTGCCGACAAGTAAGTCCCCGTTGTGGTGATTCACTCACTTGGAGGTTCATGCGCTAATTGGCATCACACGCCAAACCCTCAATAGGGTGCCACACAACCAACACAAGATGAGGATCACACGAGCCACGAGCAATTTACTAGAGTACCTTTTGACTCTCCGCCGGGGAAAGGTCAAGAACCTCTCACAATCACCACGATCGGAGCTGGAGACAATCACCAACATCCGCTCGATGATCGTCGCTGCTCCAAGCCGTCTAGGTGGCGGCAACCACCAAGAGTAACAAGCCAAACCCGTAGCGAAACACGAATACCAAGTGTCTCTAGATGCAAACACTCAAGCAATGCACTTGGATTCTCTCCCAATCTCATAAAGATAATGAATCAAAGATGGAGATGAGTGAGAGGATTTGAATAAGCTCACAAGATTGTTATGTCAATGCAAATGGCCAAGAGAGTGAGCTAGAGATGGCCAAACGATATTTATAGACACCCCCAAACAATAGAGCCATTGGCTCAATTATTGGGCCGACTGTGGGACAATCGGTAGTGCAGGTCGTGTGCACCGGACACGTCCGGTGTGGTGACCGGACGTGTCCGGTCGCTTCGTCCGGTCGTAGCCTGACCGCCACGTGTCCCTTTCAAATTGTTTAGGCATTGGCACCCAATAGCTATCTCTGCGCACAGTAATACTGATCGAACGCGCTGTTAGAAAACGACCGGATCCGAGAGACGCTGCGTCAGGTCGAGTCCAGAGAGCTCCTAGAGCCGCTCTGGGACGACCGGACGCGTCCGATCACACCGTACCGGACGCTCCTAGCGTCCAATGAATTATTGCGCTGAAAACCCGAGACTTGTTGGTTTACACCGGACGCGTCCGGTGTGGCAACAGGACGCGTCCGGTCGTTCTCTACAAACCTGCATCGGGCTATATCACTTTGACTTGACGCTGAACAGTAACTCGTCAGCGTCCGGTCACTCCATTGAGCCAAAGTCCGGTCACCTTCACTTAGTCGCTCACCTCGGGTCCAAATATCGGACACGTCTAGAGCATATGCATATGCAATGTGTTAGAGCATCTAGTAGTACTTTGATAACCGTATTTCGATACGAGTTTCACCCCTCTTAATAGTACGGGTATCGATCCTAAATGTGATCATACTCACTAAGTGTCTCGATCATCAAAACGAAAAAGCTCCAATCAAGTTTCATCTTTGCCTTGAGTTTTTTGTTTTTCTCTTTCTTCTTTTACAAGTCCAAGCATTTGATCATCACCATGCCATCACCATTATCATGATTTTCATCATTGCTTCATCACTTGGAGTAATGCTACCTATATCATAATCACTTTGATAAACTAGGTTAGCACTTAGGGTTTTATCAATTTACCAAAACCAAACTAGAGCTTTCAGCGCCGTCGATCCACTACAGCGGCGCGGCGCGGCGCGGGGCGAATCGGCGTGGGTGAGGGCGCACGACGCGGGCAGGAGCGAGCAGCGCTGGCGGAGCGAGGCGCGTGACGCGGGCCGGAGCGAGCTGTGCTTGCGGAGTGAGGCGAGCAGAGCTTTTGTCTGTGTGGATGGTTTGATGCGTCCGATGGGAACGGGCGTCCGATCGCCCTAAACATAGCATTTTCCTTCGTTTCCACAGGCACAGCCGCACAAGGGGGCGCTTACGCGATGGCCGAACTGCTAAGCATGTTCATCTTTCTTCTTATTTATATTTATCACGTGCGTGCGCCCAATCGAACATCAGCTGAGTCTAGCCAGGACATGTGTGCGCTTCTGTCCAAACAAGGCTCTTTTACATGAGCTTAGCTAGGTTAGTGAGACCCTGGTTCTGCTCAGAATCAAACCCATCACGCCCTAACATTTTCGCTTGTTTGCAACTAGTAGCAGCTCACAGTTATGGTGGTGTCTTGGGCTGCTCAAGTAGCGAAGATGGGTTACAGGTGGCAAGTAGGGGATGACAGGCAGGTAAGACTTTGAGAAGACAATTGGCTGGGCTTGATCAGCCTTGTCATCTTTTGAGACGTGTATTACCCTGTTTGCTTGATCGTATCAACCATGCTTATCAGCTATAATATAGTTTTTTCTCACAACAAAACAGCATCAGTCGGCTTATAAGCCACAGAAACGATCAAGCGAACAGGGTGTATACCTTTGCTAATGAACAACATGTTTGTGCTGGAGCTGAACATTTAATCCATTATGTGATGGGTAAGCACAGATAAACATCTCGAGTTCTCGAAAATGCACTAATGTACTACATTCTATCAGTCATCCAGGCTATAAGCTTTTTATTTTGAATACCAACACATAAACAAGAGAAACATAACGCCAAGGAACATATAAGACCCATTCCAATTTTGCACTTTATGAGCTAAATATAACATGTGTAAACCACTGAAATTTTATGCAGACATATGTCACATATAATACCTAGAATAATTTTCCTGAATGGCTGCGCCAGGATTTACTTCAAATGTTGCCATTGAAAGTGAGCTGCTATCCCGACAGTGGTCACCGCAACTTGTAGTATAGTCACATCAGTGGACGCATACCAACAAGGCAACAATGCAAGAATTTTGATGCCACACCTCCCATAGGTATTCTCCAGGTCTTCTATGAACCTTGAGCCGTGCATCAATCATGCTAAGCGCTTATGTGAATTGGGTGGCTCCTCTGCGTCAATTCATCCTAAATCTTCAAGCAGATCTAGCCAGTCTTCTCAACTAAAATCAACCATGCATTTGATTTTGGATGACCATGACCACCAGAATAATACAGTACAAGGCAATATGTCAAACATTTTTAATCATCAGAACCCTTGTCGAGGACAGGTTGGCTGTTTTGATGAGGCTGGGAAATCCAATGCAGCCCATCGAGCAATTCTGAGTACATCCTCTGATCCAATGCCCCTCGCTTCCTCCCTTTGAGCTCCTCTAGCACCTCAAATGCCTCCTCTGTCCGTCCAGCCCGACACAGCTCCTCCAGCAATGTCCTGTAGGTGATCATATCTGGCTTCCTCCTGCAATCCAACATATCCAGTAGTACCCGCCTTGATTCCTCAAACCTCCATTCCAATGCCAATGCCGACACGGCGATCATGTACACGCCTCCAGATGGCACAAATCCCTTCTCCCTCATCTCTGCATAATACTCCATCCCCTTGTCCGACCTGCCCTTCTGAAACATGGCCTTGACAATATAGCCATACGTGAACTCGTTGGGTTCACAGCCATACAGCGGCATTTCACGGAACACCTTGAGCGCCTCGTCTATCTCCACACACCGTGCGTAGGCCTTGATGATGAGGTTGAGCAGGAAGGTGTCCGGAACTACGCCGGAGGCCTTCATCTGGCGGGAGAGGGACCGGACGGCATGAAGGTAAACCATCGACGCCGGTGGGCGGCGCACGCGGCGGACGACAGCCATGAGGAGGAGCGTGTAGGTCTCGACGTCCGGGCGGCATCCTGCGGCGGCGGGCATGGCACGCATTTTGTTGAACATGTCGAAGGCGAGCGGGAACAGGCTGCGGCGCGCGCAGCAGAAGCGGAGGGATGCGTTGAAGAGCCGGAGGTCGGGCGCGCAGGCCCCCGCGAAGACGTCGTGGACGAGGGCCTCGGCTGCGGCGGGGCGGCGGCCGGACGAGGCGGCGGTGAGCGCGGCGAGGTAGGATTCGGGCGCGTGTCGGAACCCCGGGCGCAGCGCGGCCCAGCGAAAGAGCGCGAGCGCGAGGTCCGGGTCCTCCTCGGCGGTGATCGCCGCGGCGAGATCGGACGCGGTAAAGCCCGGGCGCAGCCGCGTGACCCACGCCGCGAACTGCTCGTCCGGGGGAGTGCGGACGGGGGACGGCGCCGGGGTGGTGGGATATGGGTCGGGAGGGAGAGGGTGTGTGGAGGAAGTGGTTCTGAGAAGGCGGGTATGGAGGAGGATGAGGTCATGGCGGCGGGCGAGGCGGCGCGCCGCGGCGGCGGTGGCGGCGAGCAGCGCCATGGTGGGGTCGGCTTCGTCTGAACCGCGTTGGGTTCACTGGACTCAACGAGGAGATAGGCAGCCAGCCGGCGACGGTGACGGTCACGTGGGCCGAGACAACCAGGGGCTTGCGGAGGCCCAGCTTTGGTGATAGTTGGGCGAGACCTCGTGACTATTGCGGCGACATGCTGCCACCTCACGTGGGCCGCCGAGCCTAACGCTCGCTCCCCCGGGCGGCCACACCAAGGGCCCGCAGATTCTAAAAAAAAAAAGAGTAGACTTGTGAGCGTGTGACGCGGTTCAGCCTGACAAAAGGAAGAAAAAAAAATCCTTTAGTACTCCACCCGTCTAAAAAGACAGAAGGCAAATTATCCTAAATTTTACTTCAATTTATGAAAAATATTTAACACTTATAAAACCAAATAGGTGTACTATGACAATATGCTCTTTGAAAAATCTAATAGTATCAATTTGCTATTATAGTATTGATAGTTGTCTTTAATAATTTAACCAAATTGAAATAATTTGGCTTATAATGGCAGGCACACTTAGAATACGTTTGAACTTGCATGCTCTGATACGCTTTGTTGTAAATAAAGCGAGGGGAACCTCTTTTTTTTGATAGGGCGAGGGGAACCTTTTCTCTATAAAAAGGTTTGGCTTAGAACAACACTAGAGGATCAAATTTTTTGAACGAAGTTGGTATTTTAGAATAAATAAAAAACTGGCGTAAGTTCCTACTGATTATTTGGGCCTTTCCATGAGATAGTTGTAGCTTGAATGATTTACATGTCACTTAAAAGTGTACTCTAAAGCTAGTTTATTCAATGGTGTACATATAAGCTTGTGTGTTGTTGTTATTAATAAGGGTATATCTTCAAATTCCCTACTCCTCACCTCCCTTAGTTCAAATTATAAGTTATTTTTTGTTTGGTTCTAAATCAACCATCTATAACTTTAATCATGTTTATAAAACAATATAATATCTATAGATTTCTTAATAACTTTTAATAAAAAGTTTTATTAAATTCTTTATGAACTATTGTCTTGATAACGACCCCAATATTGTTCAAATTTATAGGAATTTGACTGCAAGATAAAAAAAATAACCTATAATTTAGAATGGAGTAATAGTTCAGGCCCTGTTTGTCTTCTCGTACATCCCATGTCAACTAGAGCAACTCAAAATCGACATGGTTATTTTAGTTCACATACCGAGATTAGCTTTTCTAAGCATTAGGCTCTCCCCCGAGCGTCCCAACGGGCGACTCAGGGGGGGGGCTCACCGGCACCGCTCCAGGACCGCCCCTTCCTCCTCCTCTCCGGGCGCCGGTGGCCCGCGACGGCCTGAAAAAAGGTCACCGTCGCAGCCTCCCTTCTCCCCCCCTCGCTCCACCCCTCCACCGACCTACCTTTTGCACGAGCTTCTTCGGCGAGCCGGCCGACCGGTGGGCCAGATCCGGGATGTCCGGGGGCGGATATATCCTCCCCCTCGTTGGATCTGTGTCGGCCATGGCGGTGCCCGGGCGCGGTCCACGAACTTCTCCGGCGAGCCGGCCGGCCGACGGGCCAGATCCGGGATGTCCGGGGCCGGATCTCTCCTCCCCCTTGCCGGATCTGTGTCGGCCATGGCAGTGCCCGGGCGCGGCACGCGTCTTTGGCACGTCGGGGTGGACCTTTTCCTTGGCGGCGGATTCGTGCGGCCGCGGGTGGCCATGGCAGCCTGCGCTCGGCGGGGCTACGACCTTGGGGGTCACGCCCCTCCACCCCAGATCTTGTGGCCGGAGCATCCTGGGCATCGGTGGTGGTTGCCCTGGCCCGGGGCTACGGCGCGTTGGGTGCCTGCGGGCTCTGGTCGGTCCGCGGCTTCGGGAGCCGCCTCCTAGGCTTCGACAGTGGCAGTCTAGGGTCAGCGCCTGCTCGGGCCTCACGATCGGGGATGCCAATGACTGTTGGTGCAGCTACCATGGGTGCAGCAGGCGGCCTGCTCTTGTCGACGTACAATATATGAGTGAAAACTCTGCCTGGTTCCTCCGGGCCGGCGGCGGCGGCGCAGCCACGTCATATGCCTTCTTGAAGGCATCATCGAAGTTCATGTTCGTCCGAGCAGGCTGGGCGTCGAAAGAGCTGTTCTTGTGCTCCCAACAAAGTTGGTATCCGCGGATGTCATCACCTTCATGAAGGCTTCGTTGATGCACTCCGCTTGATCCCACCGCGTTGTTCACCGGAGTCAGCCCGTACTGTTGTGTGTCTGCGTGTGCTTCACTCTACTCTTCGCATCGGTCTACCCTGCCTCTAGTGATGTTGCCACTACAGTCGCTCGGCTGTTCACAGCGGCTACCTGGTCACTGTTGATGTTGCCGTCATAGTCGCGCAGTTCACAGCGGCAACCTGGCTGCTATTGATGTTGCCGTTGCAGTCGCTCGGTTCACAGCGGCTACCTGGTCGTTGTTGATGTTACCGATGCAGTCGCCCGGGTGTTCACAGTGGCTACCTGGTCGTTGTTGTCGCCGTTATCTTGGTTCTTATCGGTGGATGCTTTGCCACCGCGGCTTCGTCTTCTGAGTGGGCAGCCTTTGTGTTGATTTTTTTCCGCAGGATTCAATCAGTTAGGTCTGTGGTGGAGGGTCCTCCCCCCTTCCACATTTCTTGCTCGTTTTTCTTGTTTTCCTGTATCGAGTGCTTGGGGTCTGGGTAATCTTGGGATTACCAGGATGCTTGTTATTGTATCTGTTTAACAACCTCTACTTCCTCTTAATGAAAAACAAGCTATAATGTCCGATCGAGAAAAAAATAGTTCACATGGCACATTGGCACTGGAGTGGCGCTTAGAGTCAAGAGAACTCAAAAAATTTACTCTGAAAAAAAACTCAAACAAATCGGGTGTTTTACTTTTTGATTTGGACACACCTGCCGGAAAAAAAACTGATTGTGCAGATCAAAGAGAGAGCCTCTTCGATACATATTCTTGGGATGAAAAATATGTTGCATCAATCTGGGCAGAGCTATTAAAAAGATGGGTTACTAGATCAGTGACAGTAACCAAAAGCCTTAATAGATCGAAGCAGTTCCGTCGCAGACCTCGCCGTCACACTCACACCATGGAGATGGAGACGGCGCCGTCGCGTGTGTCCTCATCCTGGCGCGCCTTCCTCTCGTGGCAGCGTGCCGGTGGCAGAGCAGGGCGAGTGCCAGCAGCGGTGGCCGTGACGCCCAGGAGGTCGGCGGCGGCGTCCTTGGGCGAGGCGCCGGTAGAGCCGAAGAGCCCGGCCTCGTCCGTGGCCTCCTTGGCGGCGCCGGCCGCGAGCGAGGCCGCGGAGCCTACGTGTAACAACCCGGGTTTTTGGAGAAGCCAAAAATACGAACTTTTTAAAAATTTTCCTGCAATATGTGAAGCATGTAGATGCTAGGTTGAACTAAGAACAATTTATAAATAAATTGTTGCATACATATAGAATTACTTGTAGGAGTTTGCCGGAGTTCTTTTGTTGGTCTAGTGTTTTATGTTGGAGAGCACAAGTCCGTAGCAAATCCTTTTGATCCCTTCTAGAATATCTTATGAATCCCTTTTCCTCTCTCTCAATTCATCTTTTGCTTTTGAACCTCATTCGAATCCCTTGATCTAATTCATAAAGTCAATCGACCTTCCTTGTAAATCAATGCACGTGAGTTGTGAACCCATGGCATAGAGTAGGATAGAAATAAGGAATAGAAAAGGACAGGAAATAGGAGAATGAAATAAAAAGCCTTTCGGCCCAAGACGAAGCACCAGCCCAACCAGGCCATCCCCTCCCCCTTTATCCATTGCGCGGCCCACTCACCTCCACCTCACCTCGGCCCACGCGGGCAGCAGCAGCAGCCTAACCGAGCCCCCCCTCTCCTTACCCCGCCGACCCATCTCGCACCCCGTAGGCCTAGCTCGCTAGCTGCGTGGCCCACCAGTGCCTTGGCCCAGCCTGGCCAGCAGCCGGCGCCCCTTGCCAACCCTAGACGCGAGCAGATGCTCCCAGGCGCCGCCACCGCTCGGGTGGCAAAGCACACGCCCGCGCCTCACCTGCTCTGCTCCTCGATGCACGCCGCATACCCCTTCCCTACACGGAAGCCAAGGATCACCGTCCACAGCGCCTGGAACCCTAGCCGATGCCGCTATAAAGTGCGAAGCAGCCGACACCCTCTCCCTTCCCCAGCCGCCACAAGCCTCTCCACTCCTCTGCCTCCTTCCCGTTTCCAAGAGAGCCATAGCCATGGCGCCCGGAGGCCAAGGCGATGCCGGCTACGGCACCTCCATGGCGCCCCTGCAGCACCGCCTCCATGACCATGCTGCCGGCATCCCCACGATGTCCGTCTTCCTCAAGCCGCGCCTCAAACGCGAGACCACCTCGACGTGCACGGTGACCTGCAACAGGCCTCACCACCGACGACCGCAAGACTTCACCGTACCCAAGCCACCATCGTCCTTCGTCACGACCACCACGACGTCTGCACGACGACCATCCCTGACCACCAACCTATAGCCGAAGCCGCCTCCCTGCCAGCGATGGAACACCGGTGAGCAACATCCTTGCCAAAGCTCCTGTTTTTCCGTTCCCTATCATCGCCCTCACCTGAAGATCGGCCTTCACGCCATGTCTGGTTCACCGTAGGAAAGCCACAGCCTCTCCATGTTGGGACACGCCGCGCCGCGTCAAGCTCCACCCGGTCGCCCACTGCCACGCCGGTGGAGGCCGCTGGCCGACCTCGACCACCCTGCCGACCTCCACGGCTGCTCACCCTGCTTTGAACTGGCCTTGTCCCATCGACGCCCTCGACGTCTACGACGCCCCAGCACCGAGCACCATGACGCGCCCCTGCTCCAGGCCCGTGACCATGACGACCTGAGCGTCCTGCCTTGCCCTGGCCACCATCTGCGCCGCGTCGAGCCCCTGCACCGACGCTCTCTACACCCCCCTGTACCACGACCCGAACCTCCACCGTAGGCGGTCTCCATAGCACCACCATCCCAGGACTGTCCATGCCACTAA